TACTAGGGCATGGCACGGGTGTCCCGAGGACTCGCCACGCTCTGCCTCGATGCCGCCCCGCTTCCGCCGCCCCGTTGCCGCCTGTCGGGGCGTGCCGGGCATTCGCCACGCTCCCGCGAGCTGCCGCCCGCTGCCGCCCGTGGCCGCCTGTGGGGGGTCCCGAGGGTTCGCCCCACGCTCCGGCCCGTTGCCAGCCGTTGCCGCCTGCGGAGGCGTGCCAACCTCCTCCTCCCCCTCCTCCGGGGCCTCCCTCCTATCCCGACTCCTCCTCCTCCTCCTCCTCCTCCCCCCGAGGATTCGCCCCACGCTCCGGCCCGTTGCCAGCCGTTGCCGCCTCTGGAGGCGTGCCGAGGATTCGCCCCGCGCTCCGGCCCGTTGCTCCGGCCGTGGCCGCTCGGGGGGCCCGTCGCCGCGCACTGGCGCTTCGAAGGGAGAACGGCAGCAGAGACGTCCGTGCATCACATAACGTACACGCGGTTTGTTTCTGAGTCTTCCACCGTTCTTTGACCTGTTCGGGGGGCCAGGATCCTTTCGTGTCTAATCCTGCTGTCCTGGGCCTCTTCCAGGCCACTGGGGGGCCCGGCACAATTGGAAGCGAGCACAATTAGAAGTGAGCACGATTAGAAATGAACGACGTGTACAGTGGGGGCCCATGACAAAAAAAAAACACCCTGCGTTTCGTCAGGGTTCCCTGGGTTTCTTGGCTGACGTTCGGCGCGGAGGGTCGCCGCAGTCTCGAAGAAACTTGCAATGCCAGGGCACGGGTTTCTTCGTTTGCAGCCGGAGTGCAAGAACCCCAACCCTGGACCAAGAAACCTCGGCGAATTTCAGGGTTGGGTTTCTTGTGGAAGGTTTCTTGTGGTCGTGCCCCTACTGTACACATCCGCAGTGCCAGAACTTTCGGTTTGGGATCCACGCTGACAAACGTTGACAGCAGTTCGAAGGCTGGGGGACGGTTTGTTGTCAACCTGGGGCTGTCGCTCGAGACCCCCTTTCCTTTGAATGGGCCGGAAGATTCAACACATGTAATATTGCACGTGTCGAGAGCGGCAATTTGTTTCAAAATGGGGTTCTTCTTCCGACTTCCTGAGACATCATGACCACAAGAAGTGTAAACGTGAAAGCAGTTTCACGGATGGGGAGGGATTTCGCTGGACACCTCGTTGAATGATCTGATCTTGGTGTTCCGGATTCCTGCCTGCACGCCAGAAAGATGCACGGCAGCTTCTTTTCACAACGGGCCCCTCGCCAAAATGGCAGGCCCATGTGGCGTTGGTCTCACAAGAGGGGACGCCTCCTGCTGTGGAAAGAAAGGCTTGCAGGGACGTGCGATGAGGGGATTTGGGACTGGAGGTTGTCTTGCAGCATCGTTGATGCAGATTGGGTTTGCTCCAGTCCTTCTCCACTCCCTCCTCCCTCGTCCTCTCCTCTCCTCCTTTCCCCTCCCCCTCCTCGTCCTCGGCCTCCTCCCCCCCTGTCCTGCCCCTCCTCTGGTAGGCGAACCCTCCTGGAGGCATGCACTCCCTTGACCCTCGCCCCCTCCTCCCTCGTCCTCTCCTCTCCTCCTTCCCCCTCCCCCCATCCTCGTCCTCGGCCTTCTCCCCCCCTGTCCTGCCCCTCCTCTGGCGGGCGAGCCCTCCTGGAGACATCCCCTCCCTCGCCCCTCCCCCTTTTCGCCCTCGCCCTCGTCCCCGAGGGAGCCCCCCCCCTCGGCCCCGCGGGGGGCGCCCGAGGTCCCTCTGGGGCGAGAAGAAGCAGGAGGAGCTCGACGGCAAGGACGCCAGCCTGGCGAAGGTGCGGGAGGAGCTGGAGGAGGCCCCGCCGCGCAGGGGGGCTTGGCCCCCCCCCCTCCCTTCCTGTTAGCGGCCAAGAGGGGGGAGGAGGAGAAGGAGGAGAAGGAGGAGGAGGAGGAGGAGGAGAAGGAGGAGGAGGAGGAGGATCAGGAGGATCAGGAGGAGGAGGAGGACTAGGAGGAGGAGGAGGAGGAGGAGGAGGAGGAGGAGGAGGATCAGGAGGAGGAGGATCAGGAGGAGGAGGAGGATCAGGAGGAGGAGGAGGAGGAGGAGGAGGAGGAGGAGGAGGAAGGTGGTGCGACGCTGGCATGAGAGCTCCTTATGCCTTCAGCTCGGAGGAAAACGGATGAGGGAAGAGGGACCGGGCCGGCCAGGATGGCCCGCTCCCTCTTCTATTTCCCCTCCTCCCCAGAGGGGCGACGCGCTTGTGGGCCTCGGTGCGGTCGGCCGCGGCCTTGGCGGCGCGTCGCTGTCGGGGCACTGTGCCCCCAAAGTGGGCGCCTACTGCCAGTAAGAGCCAACCCCCGGTAGGAGCCTGCTGTCCTCCTCCTCCTCCTGCCGCCGTCGAGAAGCTCTGGAGCTGGGCCGTGGGCGCGCGCCGCTCGGCCTTCGGCCGCTGGCCACCCGCCTTCTACGACGCCTGCAGCGGGCCGAAGGCCCCTTCAGCGCAGCCCTGGAGCGGCGCGGCGGGATTGCCATCAGCCGCGACGCGCAGCATGGCCTTCTCCAGGACCTCACCGACCCCGACGTGCGCGCCCAGGATATCAAGCTCATCATGAGGACCCGGCCGATGGCGGCCGCCCTGGGGCCCCCGTGCGGGACCTTCTCGCAATTCGTGAACTTGTGCTCGCGGCCCCCTCGGACTTGCCAGCGGCCGCGGGGGCTGCGGCCCGCGGCGACGGCCCGAGGAGATCCTGGGCAACAAGTGCGTGGTGGCCGGGCCGGATCTCGCGAAGGCTCTAGACCGCGTGGGCGCCCTGTGGGCGCGGGGGCAGCCTCGGCAATCTCTTCGGCGGGCACTTCTGGAGCTCCATAAGCCCCTCAGTGCGGGGCCGCCCTACGAGTGCGTCATGGACTGGTGCAGACAGGGCAGGCGTTGGCGCAGGGCCACCGCCTGGAACGGGCGGTGAGCGTTCCTGCCCCTGCTGGCAAGAGGGCGCGACCGCAGCCGCCAGCGCCGCGCCCTAGCACCGAGTGCGAGGGCGGCGCGCGGCGGCGTCTGGCGGAGGCGGCGGCCGAGTACTCCAGCGAGTGGTGCGATGCGGTGTCCGAGCAGCTCGACGCGTGCTGCCTTTCGCCGCGCTGCTGATGCTCCTGGGGATCTTCTGCAGCTGGCTTGGATTGCCAGGAGAAGGCCCACCCGTGCGCCTTGGCGCAGTCCCGCGGCGCGCGGCTTCGCGGGCTGGGCGGGGCCTCCGAGTGACACTCAAGCCAGCAATTGCCCGTCAGTGCATCATCATGCTCGACAAGTGTAGCCTGTGGCTCCAGAGTCGAGGGCTGTCTCGCCCCGACGACGTCGCGCGTGACATCGAGCTGCTCAACGCCACCCTCGTCGCCGCAGTCCCTTGACGGCGCGAAGGCGCCATATTCTTGGGGGTCCGAGACCCTTGCTGGCGCCCAGCTTCGCGCGGCCCAGACCCGCGGTCCACTGCGCCCAGCCTGGGCCGCGGTGGCTCGCTGAGGCAATTTCGAGCCGGTCGAGATGCGCGCGCCCTGCCTGTCGAGGCGCTCCTGGCCCTGGCCGTCACAGCAAAGACGCAAGGTTTGGACGGGCCCCCCCCCATTCCACTCGCTGCGCTGGCCAGGCGGGGTCGCGAATGTCCTCGGGCAGCATTTCGTCTTGCCCGGGGGCGTGGGGGGCGACGTCAGCGCGGGCGTGGTCGTGCTACTCTCTGCGAAGACATCGGGCCGAGGGCCAGAGAGTTCCAGAGCGTCCTGATGGGCGATCCTGCGCAGCTGAACTTAATAGGGCGCGCCTTCGGCCCCCTCTCGCCGACGGCAGCCATGCGCCTGGGGCAGCTACGCGGGCTGGCCCAGAGTCTCAGCTACCTCGGGGGCCTCGTCGGCATCATCGACTCGCCCTGCACCCTTGGATTGTTGCGTGGCGGCGGGGCCAGCCATTGCTTCTGCTCGTTTCAGGACCTGGGGCTGCCGCAATATCGTGGGCGGAGAATGCTAAATCCATGCGCCGCGATCTCCAGATGAGCGCGGCCGCCCTGTCCTTCGCCCGCATGTCGTCTGGCGGTCGACAGCGCGTCTAACAGCTTGCTGGACTCGGTCCAGTCGCATGGGGCGTTGCGTGACCGCGTCGCCAACGCGCCCGGGGGGGGGGGGGGGCAAGGCGCATTTTCAGGTACGTGGCAATAACAGCAGAGTGCTCCAGCGAGCGGTGCGATGCGGTGTCCGAGCAGCTCGACATGCTCTGCCGCTCGCCGCGCTGCTGATGATCCTGAGGAGCTGGCTTGGATTTCCAGGAGAAGGCCCGCCCGCGCGTCTTGGCGCAGCGCGGCGCGCGGCATCTCGGGGCTTCCGAGTAACACTCAAGCCGGCCACTGCCCGTCGGTGCATCATCATCCACGACAAGCGGAGCCTGCGGCTCCAGAGTCGAGGGCTTCCCCGCCCCGACGACATCGCGCGTGACATCGAGCTGCTCAGCGCCACCCTCGTCGCCAATGCGCAGTGCCTTGACGACGCGAAGGTGCCGTATCCTTGGGAATCCGAGTCCCTTGTTGGCGCCCAGCTTCGCCGGGCCGCAGTGGCTCGCTGGGGCAGTTTCGAGCCGGTCGAGACGCGCGCGCCCATGCCTGTCGAGACGTTCTGGCCCTGGCCGTCGCAGCCCGGGCGCGAGGTTTGGACAGGGCATCCGCTTGCCTGCCCCTCGCTTTCCGTTCGCGGCGGCGGCCGAGCGATGCCGAGCGAGGTCGCGAATGCCTTCGGGCCTCAGGTCAGCTTTCCTGAGAACCTGGGGGCGACGTCAGCGCTGGCGTGCTCGCGCTACTCTCTGCGAAGACATCGGGCCGAGGGCCAGGGAGTTCCAGAGCGTCCTGATGGGCGATCCTGCGCAGCTGAACTTAATAGGGCGCGCCTTCGGCCCCCCCTCTCGCCGACGGCAGCCACGTTCCGAGGGCATCTGCGAAGGCTGGCCCATAGGTTTGCTACCTCAAGGGCCTCGCTGGCATCAGCGATTCGCCCTGCGCCCTTGGATCGTTGCGGGGAGGCGGGCCCGCCCGTCGCTCCCGCTTGTTTCAGGACCTGGGACTGCTACGATATCGAGGCAATGAATGCCAAATCCATGCGTCGCTGCCTCCAGAGGGGCGCGGCCGCCCTGTCCTTCGCCCACATGTCGTCTGACGGTCGACAGCGTGTCCAACAGCTTGCCCAGCTCGTTCCAGCTGTGCGGGGCGCTGCGTGGCTGCGTCGCCAAAGCGCCCGGGCGCAGGGCGCATTCCAGATGCGTGGCAAGGGCGGCAAGCTTGGAGCAGGCCGAGAGCTCTCTGTCGTTGGGGCTGTGTAGGCCGCGCTGCACAGAGCCAGCGCCTTTGCGCCCCGGCGCCCCTGGCCGCCCTGTGGGCGGCATTGCCTCGCAAACTTCACACGTGGGGTGCTTTGGAGAACGAACATCGGATATCATGTGAGCAAAGCAGTTATGATAGTAGAAGGAAGTGGTCTGCAGCTTTTTCACCCCTTCCCCCCCCGCCCTTGCGAACAGCTTTTGAACAGGTCGGGAGCTTTCTTTCTTTGGCTTTGTGAGGACGCGCGGCAGAGACAGTGTCGCTGTGCCCCGACGCCCCTGGCCGCCCTCTGGCCAGCCTTTCCTGGCAAACTTCACACATTGAGTGCTTTGGAAAACGATCGCTGGAGATCATGATGATGATGGTGGTGGTGATGTTGTTGAATATGATGATGATGATGATGGTGATGAAGGTGATGATGATGATAACGATGGTGCTGCTGCTACTGGTGATGATGGTGGTGGTAAACGAAGGTGATGATGCGCGTGGTACTGATGATGATAATGGGACATATGATGAATATGCTGATGATGCTGCTGCTGATGATGATGGTGGTGGTGGTGGCGGTGATGGTGATGGTGGTGGTGACGGTGGTGGTGGTGGCGTTGGTGATGGTGGAGATGACGATGCTTCTGATGATGGTGCTGCTGATGATGCTGATAAGGAGGAGGAGGAGGAGGAAGAGGAAGGGCAGCAGGAGGAGGATCAGGAGATGAGGAGGAGGATGAGGAAGTGGAGGAGGAGGACGAGGAGGAGGAGGAGGAAAGGGAAGAGGAGGAGGAGGGGGAGGAGGAGGAGGATGATGATGGGGAGGAGGAGGAGGAAGACGAGGAGGATGACGAGTGGAGGAGAAAAGTGTCCCTTGCCCCCTTGCCGTGAGGCGAGTGTTCGTCTGCGCCCTGGTCTCAGGCACCTGCCTTCATGTGGCAGTGCTCCATTTTTTTTCGGGCTTGAATCGCCTGCTTCGCGTCGCACCGGGGCACATTGCAATGCGCTATGTCGCATCGCATCGCGGTGCGCTGTCTTCTCCAGGCTGCGCAACCATGCGCCGTGAATGCCCACAGTTCGTCCCCGTCCTACTCGTATTCCTCCCCGTCCCCCTTCCCATCCTGATCGTCGTCGTCGTTTTTTCCCCTCGTCCTCCTCATCCTCCTCGTCTTCCTTGTCTCCCTCCTGCTTCAGCTCCTCCTCGTCGTCCTCTTCTAGGGCCTCGTCCTCATTTCTCCTCTTCCTCCTTCTGTTCGTCCTCCTTTTCCTGGCACCTCGGTCCTCGACGCCCGCGCTGGCCCGCTTGCGGTTTTCTTTGGGGCCGGCGGCTGAATCCATGGATTGCACCCTAGGTTGCGCCATATGTTGCGCCATAGTGGCCGAGTAATACCGTCTCCTGTCGGTTGCGCCATAGGTTGTGCCCGAGGCGGCTGAGAAGAGAATGCCGTGTCATACGTTGCGCCTTCGGCGGCCGAGAATATAACCGTCTCCTATTGGTTGTGCCATAGGTTGCGCCATCGGCGGCCGAGAATATAACAGTCTCCAATCGGTTGCGCCGTAGGTTGCGCCTTCGACGGCAGAAAATCAAACCGTTTCTGAATTGTTGCGCCATATGTTGCTCCCTCGGCGGCCGAGAATATAACCGTTTCCTGTCGGTTGCGCCATAGGTTGCGCCCTCGGCGGCCGAGAATAAAACCGTCTCCTATCTTTGCGCCATAGGTTGCGGCCCATGCGGCTGAGAAACAAGTTTCCCGATCGGTTGCGCCATAGGTTGCGCCCTTGGCGGCTGAGGATGAAACCGTCTCCTATCGGTTGCGCCATAGGTTGCGCCCGAGGCGGCTGAGAATCAAGCTTTCCTATCGGTTGCGCCATAGGTTGCGCCCTCGGCGGCCGAGAATAAAACCGTCTCATATCGGTTGCGCCATAGGATGCGCCTTCGGCGGCCGAGAGTATCACCGTCTCGTATCGGTTGCGCCATAGGTTTCGCCCTCGGCGGCCTATAGTAAAACCGACTCGCACTGAAGCCCCCGCTGGGAAGTGGCTGGCGGTCAGCGCCACCGCGGCCGCGTCGGTCGCGCCAAACTGACTGGCCGCTATGCGCGCGAGCATGCGCGGGCTAGCGCGGCCGCATATATGCACCAGCCAACGCCAAGCACTCATCGCAATGGGTTTTGCAAGCCAAGTTGCGGGTGGATGGGTGGGATGTTTGCAAGAGCGTGGGATTCGTCAATGCGCTTGTAACAAATCACTTGAACCACCTAGATGCACCACACATCTTGCACCACATATATTGCTCTACATAGTGTGCACAGCATCTAACGCTGCAAACGCATTGTTTTGGGTCCACGTTGATTCACACAAAAATATGCCGCCGTCTGAGCGGGCGTGGTTTTTTAGTTGCACTTTCTCACCGTTTCTGAGCGCTTCGGCCCCACCCTACAGCGCCCGCGCGGTGCACGACGCAGGCCCTGTCCCTGTCCCTGATGATTAACATCCTCTGCGCATGTGCCCACTAAAGACTCGTAGCGAATATGCGGCGATAGCGAGAAGCCAATGAACGGCACAGGCTGGCCGTGTGACGTTGCGAGACGAGCGCAACATCTTGTGGATGCGCTGTCTTGAACACCCCGCCCATTTAGTGCTAGCGGCGTTTTGTCATTGGCGCCCTCGCATGTTCGTGCGGACCCCTTGGGGGACACCGCCGTTGCGGCCCCCCCCCGCTTTTGCCTCCCCTCCTGTTGGGAGCTCACGCCCACGTTCCACTTACAGTGGGCGCCGCCCTATCACTGGCTGTGTTGCGTGCGCCAGCCCTGGCATGGCTTTTGCTTCTCCGCCCCCCCTCTGCCACCTCGCCCCTGCCAGCCTGGACCGCCCGGCTGCCTTGAGCCGCTCTGCCACTCTGCCGCCCGCCCCGCATGGCCGCGCCAGCTCGCTTCTGGCGACTGCCTCGGCGCCCGCTGCAACGCGCTGGCCTGCTCAGCCCGCCGCCGCGCGCCCCAGCTGCCGCCTCCCTGCGCCTCCCGCCCGGTCGCCCCAGTCCGCCTGCCGCCGGCTGCTCCCGCCCCTTCGCTTGCTGGGCCCCGCCCGCACTGCGGCTGCTGGCCCCGCCCCCCGGGTGCGCCCGCGACGACGCCCCGCGCCGCTGCCAGAGGCGGCCCCGCAGCCTGGCCGCCCCGCGCGCTCCCTGCGGCGCCGCTGCGTGAGAGCGCCGCCCCTGCATCCTCCCCCTCCGCGGCCGCCCTTTTCTGCCCCATCCTCCCCCCAGCATGCTGGACAAGTCGCAACTCCGTAGCCCGGACTTGCTCGACGCGCGAGCGGGCCGCCTCTGCCGCGCCGCGACGGGAAAATGGTTGTGCGGACCCCGTGTTTCGCTGAGCAAATGCGACTTACATGTCCCACTTGTAGGGCAGCGGCTACGAGACAAAACCTGAGCAAATATCAATCGGTGGTGCGTGCTTGCGCTCGATTCCAGATTTCCAGGAACAGCATGGGAACAGTCGCGGGTGGCAGCGCAAGGCTGGTCAGCGGCGAAACCACGTCAGACAACTAGGCGCGGGCTGTGGCCGTCATCGTGCCACAGGTGTGGTTTGAAATGATGAACGCAAATGTCAGTCCGCAGGGCGATGACATGAACCTGAAGGAACGATTATGCTGACGGCCTTCTTTTTACACTCATCAGAAATCTTCAGGGAAAGCGCAATATTTCATGGTCTCCCGATTTCGCTTAGAGAATCAAGAATATTGGCTGGACCCTGGTCGTTTTCTTATGACTTGTTTGCCGAAAGTTAACGCACCTGGATCTGCATTACTATTGGAAACGCTTGGAGTGATGCCATTTTCTTCGCAAGCAATTTTCTCAACTCTGAGCGGTGGTGTAGCCTGGGAGTTTTCCTTCTTTCCAGGCGTGCAGTCTACTGGAACGGCCGAATGGCCGATGCGCAGCAAACACAGGTGCAGTCATCTCACGCGCCAGCGAAGCTCACGACCAGCGTGCATCTGACTCGGGACGCGGCGCCTAGGGCGCATTCTCTTCGGCAGCTGGCGTAGTACTTCTCGGCTGGGCTGCACAAGTGGCGCGGCCATTCAGCAGGGGACCTTGGCAGAGGAAGCGTCTCAAAATCGAGCGCGTGCCACTGCTATGGCGCGCGTGCGTAATATAGTTCAGCACAGCTGGTCACGATCCGATCCGATGTACAGCTAGGCGACATACTGCTTCAATGCATGAATGATTGGCGCCGCAATGTGTCCAGCATCGGGCTAGCATCGCCTACAACTCATGTCTTTGCAGGCGATGTGGATTAGCTATTTGCCTTGCCTTCTGGACTGCGTAGGTCAACATCATCGCCAGCAGAGCGTGGTTTCCACATCTCCCGATGCTCGCCTGACTCACTTGTTCTTGTGCTTCCCGCAGGTATATCAAACCGCTGCCAGCTTCACCAACTCGCATGCCCATGAGGCGAGACATCATCAGACCCTCATTGGCTTGCCCCTCTTACTCCTCCGACTTCATCTCCTCCCCACAGCGCTAGTTTCCACCATACTCCCTCTTCCTTCTTCTCCTCCTGCCTCGTATCCTCCCCCTGCCTCGCATCCTCCTCCTTCCTTCTCCTCCTGCCTCGCATCCCCCCCTCCCCCCTCCCGCAGGCTCAGGGACAGCTCAAGGAACTCAGGGCGCAGTCCGAAGCCTCCGCGGCCTCTGCTGCGCAGGCTCCCCCCCCCGTTCTCTGCGCTCGGGCGGCAGGGCTTTGGAGGCGGGGGGGGGGGGGGCGGAACAGAAGAAGGGTACGGGAGGAAGTCCACGCTGTTCTTAGGAGGAGTGTCCTGAGGAGGAGGAGGAGGAGGAGGAGGAGGAGGAGGAGGAGGAGGAGAAGGACGAGGAGCACGAGGAGGAGAGGGAAGGAGAAGGAGGAGGAGGAGGCGGCGGAGGAGGGGCAGGAGGCGGAGGAGGAGGAGGAGGAGGAGGAAAGCCAGTGTAAACCCAGTAGTCATCAACGATATTGGAGGAAACCCTCCCGCCAAGCTCCCATGTTATAGGCCCCTTACAATGCTTCATTCCCTTTGAGGGAACTGCCTCGTTGGAAGACACCCGTTTCAAGACCCTGAATCATGCCAAAACATTGTTCTTGGGATTCCAACGCCACGGATCAACCTGACTGTTGCGTCTTGACGATCCGGAATCGTATTATAATGCCATTTCTCGGACTTTCACATAACCAACGTAACTGTTGCTTCCGCATAATCCTGAATCCTTCCGAAACACAATTTCTGGTCTGTTGATGGGAACCTGTCGAAATTTTAAAGTTTTCGTAAACGAATATGCGCGGCGCTAAGGCGAGAGCCACATGTTGAAAGGAATCGCCCTCAATCCGTGAAGCCCTTGCCAACTTTCCAAATGAATGTGCGCCGCGCTCAGGCGAAAACCACATTTTGAAAACAATCTGCCCTCCATCCGTGAGGCTCTAGCAAATATTTAAAACGAATGTGCGACGCGCTAATGCGAGAGCCACATAAAAACAAAAAAAGTATAGCCGGAGTGCACTATCCCCAAACAGGATTTTTCGACCCACTGCGGTTTCCAAGGTCGATTGCGTGCCGGTCCAGTGCGGGCTGGCATGGCATGTTAAAACATGCCTCCTCCTCCTCCTCCTCCTCCTCCTCCTCCTCCTGTTCCTCCTCCTCCTCCTCCTCCTTCTCCTCCTCCACCTCCTCTTCATCCCGAACGGCATCTCGGACCCCAGAGTTGCGACGATGTCTCGGGCGAAACGTGCTGCGAGGAAGTCTCAGGCGAAACGGGCCGGACCACCTCGAGCGCGGCGTCTCAGAACTCCGAGTTGCGGGGGCCTCCTGGGGCCTCCTGGGACCTCCTGGTGACCTCCTGGGGCTTCCTCCTGGGCTTCCTGTGGCTTCTGGACCCCACCTGGGCTTCCTGAAGCCTTTCGGGGCTCCCAGGGGGGGATATCTAACATGTGGCCGTCGGGGTCCCCCAAAATGGGGGGGGGGCAACAAGAGCAGGAAAAATCAACGAATCGACACAGGATGTGTATCAACTGGACACTTTCTGAGAGGGGGCCTCTTGGGGCCTCCTGGGAGCCTCCTGGGAATCTCCTGGGGACCCCTGGGGCCTGTCCTGGGCGTCCTGCGGCCTCCTGAAGCTCTCTGGGGCCTCCTGGGAGCCACATGTGGTCTTCTGGGCCCCCAGGCTGGACCACCTCTTGCGCAGCATCTGAGAGCTCAGAGTTGCGAGAATGTCTTGTGCGAAACGGGCCGGACCACCTTGCGCACGGCATTTCAGAGCTCAGAGTTGCGAGGATGTCTCAGGCGAGATGGGCCCGACCACCTCGCGCAGGGCATCTCGGAGCCCAGAGTTGCGAGGATGTCTCCAGCGTGACGGGCTGGACCACCTCGCGCGCGGCATCTCGGACCCCAGAGTTGCGACGATGTCTCGGGCGAAACGTGCTGCGAGGAAGTCTCAGGCGAAACGGGCCGGACCACCTCGAGCGCGGCGTCTCAGAGCTCCGAGTTGCGGGGGCCTCCTGGGGCCTCCTGGGACTTCCTGGTGACCTCCTGGGGCTTCCTCCTGGGCCTCCTGTGGCCTCCTGGACCCCACCTGGGGCTTCCTGAAGCCTCTTGGGGCTCCCAGGGGGGGATATCTAACATGTGGCCGTCGGGGCCCCCCAAAATGGGGAGGGGGCCACAAGAGCAGGAAAAATCAACGAATCGACACCGGATGTGTATTAACTGGACACGTTCTGAGAGGGGGCCTCCTGGGGCCTCCTGGGACCCCTGGGGCCTGTCCTGGGCGTCCTGCGAGCTCCTGAAGCTCTCTGGGGCCTCCTGGGGCTCCCAGGGTTCCAGGGGGGATATGTAACATGTGGTCTTCTGGGCCCCCAGGCTGGACCACCTCTTGCGCAGCATCTGAGAGCTCAGAGTTGCGAGAATGTCTTGTGCGAAACGGGCTGGACCACCTTGCGCACGGCATCTCAGAGCTCAGAGTTGCGAGGATGTCTCAGGCGAGATGGGCCCGACCACCTCGCGCAGTGCATCTCAGAGTGCAGAAGTTCGAGGATGTCTCAGGCGAAACGGGCTGGACCACCTCGTGCGCGGCATCTCGGACCCTGGAGTTGCGACGATGTCTCGGGCGAAACGTGCTGCGAGGAAGTCTCAGGCGAAACGGGCCGGACCACCTCGAGCGCGGCGTCTCAGAACTCCGAGTTGCGGGGGCCTCCTGGGGCCTCCTGGGGCCTCCTGGTGACCTCCTAGGGCTTCCTCCTGGGCCTCCTGTGGCCTCCTGGGCCCCACCTGGGGCTTCCTGAAGCCTCTTGGGGCTCCCAGGGGGGGATATCTAACATGTGGCCGTCGGGGCCCCTCAAACAGAGGGAGTGGGGCCACAAGAGCAGGAAAAATCAACGAATCGACACAGGATGTGCATTAACTGGACACGTTCTGAGAGGGGGCCTCCTGGGGCCTCCTGGGGCCTCCTGGGAGCCTCCTGGGAATCTCCTGGGGACTCCTGGGGCCTGTCCTGGGCGTCCTGCGGCCTCCTGGAGCTCTCTGGGGTCTCCTGGGGCTCCCAGGGTCCCAGGGAGGATATGTAACATGTGGTCTTCTGGGCCCCCAGGCTGGACCACCTCTTGCGCGGCATCTGGGAGCTCAGAGTTGCGAGAATGTCTTGTGCGAAACGGGCCGGACCAACTTGAGCACGGCATCTCAGAGCTCAGAGTTGCAAGGATGTCTCAGGCGAGACGGGCCGGTGTCGCGGGCGAAACGCGCTGCGAGGAAGTCTCAGGCGAAGCGGGCCGGACTACCTCGAGCGCGGCGTCTCAGAGCTCCGAGTTGCGGGGGCCTCCTGGGGCCTCCTGGGGCCTCCTGGGGACCTCCTGGGGCTTCCTCCTGGGCCTCCTGTGGCCTCCTGAACTCCACCTGGGGTTTCCTGAAGCCTCTTGGAGCTCCCAGGAGGGATATCTAACCTGTGGCCGCTTGGGCCTCTCAAAATGGGGCGGGGGCCACAAGAGTAGGACAAATCAACGAATCGACACCGGATGTGTATTAACTTGACACGTTCTGAGAGGGGGTTTCCTGGGGCCTCCTGGGGGCCTCCTGGGAATCTCCTGGGGACTCCTGGCCTGTCCTGGGCGTCCTGCGGCCTCCTGGAGCTCTCTGGGGTCTCCTGGGTCTCCTGGGGCTCTCAGGGTCCCAGGGAGGATATGTAACATGTGGTCTTCTGGGCCCCCAGGCTGGACCACCTCTTGCGCGGCATCTGGGAGCTCAGAGTTGCGAGAATGTCTTGTGCGAAACGGGCCGGACCACCTTGCGCACGGCATCTCAGAGCTCAGAGTTGCGAGGATGTCTCAGGCGAGACGGGCCGGACCACCTCGCGCAGGGCACCTCAGAGCTCAGAAGTTCGAGGATGTCTCAGGCCTGCTCCCAGAGTCCCAGGGAGGATATGTAACATGTGGTCTTCTGGGCCCCCAGGCTGGACCACCTCTTGCGAGGCATCTGGGAGCTCAGAGTTGCGAGAATGTCTTGTGCGAAACGGGCCGGACCACCTTGCGCACGGCATCTCAGAGCTCAGAGTTGCGAGGATGTCTCAGGCGAGACGGGCCGGACCACCTCGCGCAGTGCATCTCAGAGTTCAGAAGTTCGAGGATGTCTCAGGCGAAACGGGCCGGACCACCTCTCGCGCGGCATCTCCGAGGTCAGAGTTTCGAGGATGTCTCAGGCGAAACGGGCCGAACCACCTCGCGCAAGGCATCTCAGAGCTCAGAGTTTCGAGGATGTCTCAGGCGAAACGGCCCGGACCACCTCTCGCACGGCACCTCGGGGCTCAGAGTTTCGAGGATGTCTCAAGCGAAACGGCCCGGACCACCTCTCGCGCGGCGTCCCGGAGCCCAACTTTTTGAGGATGTCTCAGGCGAAACGGCCAATCCCGGCCAACTCAAAAACGAGAGTTGTGAGGATGTCTCAAGCGAAACGGCCCGGACCATCAAATTTTTGTGAGGATGTCTCTGCTCCGATTTCCCTCGGCCGGAGTTAATTTCTATCATAACAGCACCCCATTCAGCAAGCTGTTTGAGGAAAAACGTCCTCCATCTGCGAAGCTGTTGCCAAGGTTTATAAACAAGCTTCAGCGTCACAAAGGGTGAGGAAGTCTCAGGCGAAACGCCCGGCCTGCCATAATCATCAGCCTCGGGGTGCGACAGAGAGACATTAGTCATAAGGAAAACATCACTCCGGTTTCTTCGGTGCTCACTGCAGTACTGGATGGATGTCGCGCCCCCCCGCCGCCGCCATTTTGAACTGATTCTGGGCAGCGGGCCCGCCGCCAGTTTGCCCGCTGTCCCCCGCTGTGGTTTTTTATAGTGAAAGACGATCCAGCCCGCCGACGACGCCGCCCGCCGCCAGCCGACGCCGGGAAAGGTAAACGGAAGGGAGGAGGTAAGCAAAGATGATTCCTTTTTGCGTGGTTTGTTGAAATTTACGCAGGTATTCATTTGGTAAACCCGGTTCGTTGTCAACATTTTCTGGGTGGGGAGTTGGCGATTTCATGTATATTTTGTTGTTGTTTTTGACCGTTCAAGTGAGATTTGTTTTTTGATTATAGGTTCCAGGAAAGAGTGCCAGCAGTGATTATATATCATTGATATTTTATATACTGATTTTGAAATATGTTGCCCACCATTTTCAATTTTCACTGATTTAGAATTTTC